GTCGTGATCTCACAGTTCGTGAGATCGAGCCCCACATCGGGCTCCATGTTCACAGCACACAGCCTGTTTAGGATTCTCTCTCTCCCTCTCTCTGCCTCTCTTCCACTTGTGCTCTCTCTCAAAATAAATAAATTTTAAAAAAAAGGGTTAAAAATGTAACTACCTGAGCATGGTGGCTCAGTTGGTTAAGCATCCAACTTCAGATCAGGTCATGATCTCATGGTTCAGGAGTCTGAGCCCTGCATCAGGCTCCATGCTGGCAGTGTGGAGCCTGCTTGGGATTCTTGCTCTCTCCTCTCTTTCTGCCCCTTCCCTGCTCGTGCTCTCTCAAAATAAATAAATAAAAACTTTAAAAAAGCATAACTACCTTATGATACAGCAATTATACTACTAGGTATTTACCCAAAGAATACAAGAACAGTAATTCAAAGGGATATATACACCCCTATGTTTATGGCAGCATTATTTACAATAGCCAAGATACAGAAGCAGCCCAAGCATCCACTGATTGATAAATGGATAAAGAAGATGTGGTATGTGTATGTGTATATATATATACATGCATACACATACAATGGAATATTGTTCAGCCATAAAAAAGAATAAAATCTTGCCATTTGCAACAAGATGGATGGAGCTAGAAAGTATTACGCTCAGTGAAATAAGTCAGTCAAAGAAAGACAAACACTGTATGATTTCATTCATGGGCAGAATTTAAGGAACAAAACAAGTAAAGGGAATAAAATAAAAGAGTGACATATCAAAAAAAAAAAAAAAAAAAAAAAAAAAAAAAAAAAAAAGACTCTTAATTATAGAAAACTGATGGCTACCAGAGGGGAAGCAGTAGGGGGATGGATTAAATAGGTGATGGAGATTAAGGAGTACACTTATGATGAACACAGAAAAATGTATGTAAGTGTTGATTCATTATATTGTACACCTGAAACTAACATATTAGTTATATATAACAGTTAACTAAACGGAATTAAAACAAAAACATAAAATAACATAAAAACAAAAAGAAATAAATAATAAAATAATAAAATAAAACCATACTATAAAAAATCAGAAAACAAAAACAACCCAAGTGATGCCAGACCTAAGGGCAAAGAATGAACTGACAGGCAGACAAAAAAGGTCCATGAGGGAAATCCTCAGGTAAAATATGAGAATAAAGTAAGGACATAGGCAGCTGAGTCAATTCATTAAACCGAAATATTAGAAAGATCTAGAGCAGTTTTTCCTGAAGAGTTCCCTCCACCTTCCCCTCCTTCAGTCTCTAACTCCTAGGGCCCAGGGTACAAAATCAGAGAGGTTAGCAGTATCCACAGCAAGAACTAGGTTGGGAAACACTTAACACAGAACAGACTGTAGGGAAAATCCCAGAAACACTAACCAAGACAAAAGTGAAATAAAAGAAGAGAGACAAAGGAACCACTTTACTTGTGGTAAATTTAATGACTATAAGAGCTGTTCACATAACAGCAAAGAGACACATTTTCCATTTGACATGAAGTTGCTTCACCACTTGCAGCTTGTCTCCAGAGCGTCATTACCTCTTTCTTTAGTGACCAGTCCTATCTCCCTTCTTGTCAGAAGGACAGCCCATGTCAACTCTAAGGCCATCCACTCAGGTCAGCAATATGCTGAGGAGTCCTTCAGGGTGGTCCTGCAGAGAACATGTCCTTTAAGTGTCTGAGAGCTGGTGGACGTAATCTGAAAGAAAATCAGTCAGGAGAAGACAAAGTAAGCAGGACTGCACTTGAGAGACTTAATGTGGAGCCTCCAGAGGAGAGGCCACCAATAGAGATCTAATGGAGGTGGTGTCAGGCCAACAGAGACTGCATGGTTCCCATGTGCCCCCAATCCTGGAAGGAAAAGATATCTAACATCTAATGCAATGGTAATATGTATCATTGAAGAAGTCTAAATTAGTTCAGGTCCAAACTGCTACTTCCCCCTTTTCTCTTGGGAGATGGATGGCTCTTCTCCAGCACCAACCATGAGTTTCTGGTGTGGGCTGCCCATCACAGATCCTGTCCTCCTAACTAACCCCAGGGACAAGCTTTGATCCAGGCTTACCAGGCAAATTCTTCCTTAAGATATTTATGGCCCAAATTTGGTGAGAAAAGCTGTTTTTCCTCCCTGGGAGCTGAACGCATGTGGCCCCAAAGGAGATTTCAAGAGAAGACTGAAAACAAATATGTAAACAAAGATGACAACAGGCACTGAAAAGTGTTATGATGATAAAATGGGCTAATGTAATAAATAATGACAAGAGCAAGCAGAGGGAACCTGCTTTAGCTTCCCTAAGGAGAAGGCCTCTCAAGGAGGTGACAGTTCAGAGAGAAACTGAAAGTTAAAAAGATGGCAGTCATGTAAAAATCAAGAGTCTCCCAAACAACACAACATGTGCAAAGCCTCTCACTAGAACTTGGTCTGAAGGGCAAAAAAGAGGACACCAAGGCTGGAGAAGAGAGAAGTAAGAAGAG